CCTTCCCTAACGCTACGAAATATGTGATGGAGAGTTATGAAGACGCAGTTCAAAATCCATACGGCTACCTGGTCTTTGACCTTCATCCATCAACCTCTGAGAAAATCCGTCTTCGAACTTCAATCTTTCCGGACGATCAACATGTGGTTTATGTCAGGCGCATATAAACGTCTGTCATTACTTAATCTCATCATTTGATGATGTCTCGTCGACTAAGAGACAACGCAGACTTTTTACGCGTACTAGCTAAATCTAATCCGAAACTAAGACGTGCTATTCTAAAGTGCTGTAACTCAGAATTAATCAAAACAATCTGTGAAGTGACATTGAACGTTTTGAAGGGCATAGTCCCCATTAACGAAAAGCAGAAGAAGAAACTCAGGAGATACAAGACAGTCTTGCGTACTTTAGCAGATAAAAAGGTCTCTATTAAGAACAAGAGAGAGTCTTTGAACCAGACCGGAGGAAATTTTCTTCCATTTCTCATACCACCCGTCTTGTCAGTTCTCGCTAGTCTTATATCAAAGAAATTATGAAACACAGCAGGAAGATGTATTTAGTACCTGAGGCGGTGATGCATATCATTCAACAACAAAACGATATTCAAACTTCACCACTAGTCAAGTCTATGAGTTCTCTCAACCAACGAATGAGTAACGCTATAGCAGACCTGAGTTTACCGGCAGAAATTAAAATCAAGAATCATGAGCAATTGCTAGACCGCTACTTAAATCTGCAAGAGCAGCGGGAAAATCATATTCCCACAGTCAAAATTCACTCAACCACGGAAGCTGTAGCACCACCACAGGAACCCCATCCGGTACCAGCACAAGAACAACAAATACAGGGACCTCAAACTGTCTCTGATTCAGAGATTTTAGGAACGGTCCCTAAAACGTTTCGAAATCAAGCTGAGGGGTTATTGCGCTGGATAAAGAAGACTCCTGACGCAGTTCAGTGGGATGAGAAGGGGCAGGTGTCCTTGGAGGGCAAATCTATCGAAGGATCAAGCATTTCTGATCTGATCAATGACGTTGTGAGGATGCGGAAAGGGTTTTCTCCCACCGGAAGAGATGCGTTTACCCAAGTTCTAGCGAAATTGAACACCCCAGAAGATTTTGTGCGTAATGAGAATCGAAGACGGTTGCGGTCTACGCTTAAAGCTGGTGGAAGACGTCCTCCCACAACACCTTCTGCAATGATACCGTTACTTCAACCCACCCCTCCTAGTCGACCTAGAAAACTACCCGTTACACCAAATTTACAGAAAAGAGGTCTTAAAGTACCCCCTCGAGGAAAAAAAACTTTAGAGTGGCTAAACTATTAAGTTCTTTGTAAGCAAAGTGAAATAAAAGAGATTAAAGGATTATAGTTTATTGTCTTGGTTTATTGAGTTACACATACTTCATTACAAATTCATACACTAATTGATCATTATGCAGTTTGTTTGAACTAAAAAGATTGACAATAGTACTCATACTAACACCACGTGCTCGGTGCATCAAGTAGAAAATACAATACTCGCCGCATACAGCGGTCAATGCACTTTGCAGTTCTTTTTTATTAAAACTCCTATGCTCACTGTTTTGGTTGAGAAAGCTCAAAAAACGATTATTATAAAACTGGGGTGGGTGCCCATAGCTATCAAAAAATTCTCCTTGCTCTGGGCTGGTAAAATAAAACGCTACCCAATGTTTGCCTGGTTGGTGAGTTGGGTCTGTATTCACTATATATCCACATGGGTAAGAGTTCATAGATTTTGGAAGACGGTCTTTTGCAAATACGCCTCCAAACTTTTTTCTGGTAGTAGGGTCTTTCCCGATGATTTGTCTTATCTGCTTGGTATTCATGCTGAGTAATCAAAGGTGACGTGACGTGAAAAGTCAATCTCGACTGTAGACTCAAACTCTCCGTATACAATAAGGTTAACTGCGTTGGGCAGGCCTGTGCTGAACTGAATCTCCAGAGATACGTTCCCTTTCTGTTTCTGGTTCAAATGGGTTGAAGAACCGCAGAGGTCGGGGGTTAAATCAAAAGCCAGAATGCCGTATCCCTTATTATAGTCTTCTCGTGCAATATCAATGCCTGAATCTGAAAACAATCGCCCACTTCCAGAAAATAACGTCTGATATGCTTCGATAAAGTTCATTTCACTAGCTCGTGCTAGCTTTAGGGTAATCGGTTTGAAGGGGATCTGTTCTCCATCGATGGTTAAACTGATAGTCGTTGCTCCATACAATTTAAAATTGTACGGGTTCTTGGTAAAACTCCCATTAAAGGCGTCACTGTCCACCATCGCAAAGACCACACGTTTTGGTACTAAGCCATTAAACAGATCTCCTTTGTGAATGGACGGGTTGCCTATCGGTATGGTATACGTCTTACAATCCGTTCTCCGTACTGGGTAGATAGCGTTCACCCCCTTCTTTAACTCGTTCAAGTGTTGAAGTTGTAAGACTGGGCTTACTTTCACAGCACGAACTTTCAGGTTAGCACTTTGAATTGCGATCTTGTAATTAGGGTTTGCTTCTCCTGACATCAAAGCGAACGCTGGGGTGTTAGGGTTCAGTTTCATGGTGACGTCTACATGGTTAAGGAGAAGGCGGTCGCTGAACAGCATATCACAGTGAAGGGGTCCCCATAAATCCACGATATAGCTTTTTTCAGTAAAAGAATAGCGAGTCTTAAGCCCAGCATTGACTCCAGCCGATGTTGGATCGGTTTCATCCATCTCCCCCGCGGTGTCTTTGTAATAAAGACCAGCTGTAAGATGAGACTTTTTAGCTGACGAGCCATAATTCAGAAGTGTTTCTAACATGCTTTTGTAACTGTAGGTTCCAGTTGATTGTGTAACTTGAATACCATTGAGAAACACATCCACTTGCTTGAAGAGACTTTGTAGAAAGTTATTGACAGGTCCAACTTTTTCATCAGTTGTAAGATTCGAATTGTTAGCCTTGGTGACTTTGACTTTGATAAATAGCATTGTTTTTGCTAAATCCAAATAATTTTCTGACCCAGTGATTTGAAACTCAATGGGTGCTGAAGAAGAAATGGTTGATAGCGGTTGATACTCGATCCATTGACTTTTGTCAATAACCACTTGAGTTGGTGGTACCGTGAATAAATCTAATTCACTTTTCGTACATGGTGTAGAATGAGAGTGTACAAAAGCCATTTTAAGGTTTAAAAAATGTCGTCACTCGCGAGAACTATTCTAGCTCTTTTTGCTTTGCCGGCTCGTGGTAGACTGAACTTTTTCTGTGGCGTCTTTCGTTTTTGTCTTTTTCTTCCTTGATGACTTTCCACTCCCAACTTGCGAGGTGATTTGGTTTAAGGCTTGTTGTTTTAGGGTTCGTGCTGACTGTTGTAACCTCGCTTTAGCAGAGTCTTTCAAATTATTTCCAGCCAGAATATCTTTCGTGATATTCACTCCGGTGTTGAGAGCTGCTTTTCCAACAGTTTTAGCTCCCGTTTGCAATAGTGGTATAGCTTTCCTTGCGAGGGATTGAAAAAAAGAGCCAAGTCCATATCCCCTCTGAAAAGGTTCACCGTGAAATACCATCATCTGTCCCCCCTTCTGGGGTTTCATCTTATTGAAAATAGGGTGATTGGCGAAGTCTAAAACTTAATGTTATCACCACGCGTCCACGTTCAAATGGGACTTTTTCCCCCGTGTCGTCCGTTATAAGGATCTCCATAGTCTCAAATTCTTTCGTAGCAAGAGGGTGATAATGAGGGTTGTCGTAGTCGATTGTTATGATTTCTCCGTCTTTGCCCCGTGCTGGGATAATACGTAGAAGGGGAGTTCTCACATCACCCACAATTCGACTTTCAATGATGCTTAAATAGATATAGAGTGACTGAAGACCAATATTCAAATCGCTCATAAATGGTGCCTCGGTCGTCTTGTCTAGGATGATGTCTCTACCAAATCCTAAGATTACTCCTAGATTATTCTCGAAACTCAGTTTCTTTCCAGCACCTAGCGTCACTGTGACTTTCTGTGATCGATTATCTAACTTGAGGGAAATCTCGTTTACTCCATCGTCTGTGATTGCTTTATTCATGCTACTAATGACATCAGTGACTGAAGAATAATAGCCAACGATAATTCTGCTTACGTTCCACTCACCATCGTAGTAATAAAACTTTTGATCCTCTTTAACAATGTTAAACCAAGTGTGGGGGAATGTGACAGAGGCAAGGCCTACTTCCCAAGCCCCCATTAGGTCTACGCGCTCGGGTAGTTTCACTTTATATTCGGCTAGGGTGTTATTCGGAAATACATCCATCGAGCTATTGCTCGGGAGTGTTATGTAAAACTGACTTGTACTAGTCATGATGGTTAGAGTTAAATGAATACACCACACATTCAACCTTTGGTATTATAGATTTTATTCGATATCACTACTTAAAATCCAACTATTATACTTATCAGGGTATCCCAACCATTTAACAAAGTACTCCTTTTCTTTACCGCGTTTGCGAGCTTTTAACATTTTCTCTATCTTATACACTTGCTCTACCCCTTTAGTCTTAACTCTCTGCAGTTCTTGTTTATAAAACGTTCCTTCTAACACATCTCCATCGAACTCTTTTAACTTATAGACTGGAGGGTTGCGAGGAATACGCTTGAAAATGGTAAAAATCTCTTCACTCCAATTGGGTAAATAACYTTTTTCAAACAGTTTCTTAGACTTCGATATGCGTACTTGATCTCCTACGTTAAAAGCATAACCCGTTTTAGGAGGTTGATTTCCATAAAGTGTTAGCCACACATCCTTTTCATTGTTCTTATTCACCGAAGCCGGAGTTCTCTTAATACTTCTATGATATGAATGATTGTAGGCGCTTACAATATCAGGTATTACATCTAGATATTTTAACGTTCCCTTCGAAGTAAAGTAACGGTACATTCGCTGTTTCAAGCTTCGATTAAAACGCTCGATGATGGATCCTTTGATATCTGTGTTATAGGTATGATAAGATCCAATATTCGTTTCTTTTAAAAACGACTGGAATAATTGATTCGTGAATTCGCTTCCACGATCAGAATGTATTTTTTGGGGTTTACGCTCCGATTCATCTAAGATGCGCTTGAAGGCTTCCACTAAAGTAGGACCGCTCTTGTCTTTCAATGGAACCACCCATRCATACTTTGACAACACATCAATACAGGTGAGCATATATCTGTAATTGCTATTGTACTTCTTGAGGGACTGCATGTCAATCAAATCCAATTCCCAGACCGCATCTATCGATCCRACTATGACACGATTTCTACGGAAACGTTTCTGAACAGGTCGGTGGAGAGAATACACCCTCTGCCCTCTTAACCATTCCTGTACTATTTTCTTTGTGATTTTCTTATTTTTCTTTTTGGCAGCATGGTATAAGGCATCGACGCTTCCGAGACTCCCTCCTTGATTGAACTTGTAATACAGTTTTTCCAACAGCTCGTTGGTCTCCATCAATCTGTGAATTTTCAATAATCACTTTCCCACCGCAACAGGCGAGAACACAGCGCACTCTTTTGAAAATGTTTTGAAGATTAAGATTGGGAATGGAGCTTAGACACCCGCAACCCATGTCTTTATCCCCTGAAGACAAACACAAAATGATTCTATAACAAAACGTACTTCGTTTTTATTCAATTCCTTATAGCATGTACAAAATCGTCAAATATTGCTGATGATAATTCCTGACCATTCTCTTTGACATCACACATGTTATTCACAAAATCAACAATAGCATGCTCATTCCTATTCGACCATGACATATCGCTAGCTATCATTTCAGCTACACAAGAGTTTATGCTTGACAGGTTGAATACAAAAGCAGCCCAGTCCTCTGACATGGGAATGYTCATGAATTTAAGTAATTGCTCGCATACATCTAGTATAAGGGTAAKATCGATCGAGTTCTTCACGTCGTCAAAGAAAAAGGTCCATAAGTCTTGATCGCTAGTCATCAGACATGCATGATCTCTTTGACTGGGGTAATCATTCTCACATCCTTCGCACTCTCTTGTCAGCTTCTTCACCATTTCTCTTCGACAGAGTTCCACGTACAAAAATTCTAATACTTGTCGAAGCTTCGCCTGCGCCACTATCTCTACTTCATCAGTTACTTGACATCTTGATGCAGATAGTGACCGTCTACTTGTTCGTGTATATACCACAAAGGACAGCAATAAGTGTCTCGTACAATATAATAAACCAGAGGTATTATAGTGAGCAGCATGAGGGTGAAAAAATTAATGAAACGATCTAGAAAAACCATAAACTTATAGTGTTGAAACCAGAAAGATTCTAAAATAAACATGACACCAAAAGTAGGCCCAATCAGAACGCTCGTCCAACGTCTTTTGACTTCTAAAGGCTAGACTCATTAATTCATAACTCCTAACCACCAGTCGCCGAAACACAGGATTTAATCCTCTCCAACAAAAGCTTCCTGCCAA